GGTGTCCCTGGGTGGTGGGGTGGAGGTGCCCCGGGTGGAGGTGTCCCTGGGTGGTGGGGTGGAGGTGCCCCGGGTGGAGGTGTCCCTGGGTGGTGTGTTGGAGGTGTCCCTGGGTGAAAATGTCCCTGGGTAGTGGGGGTGGAGGTGCCTCCGGGTTGGAGGTGTCCCTTGGTGGTGGGGGTGGACGTGTCTCTGGGTGGAGGTGTCCCTAGGGGGGGAGGTGCCCCCAGGGTGAAGGCGCCTGCATTCCCACAGCCCCACAGCACAGCTGAGAGAAATGTCCTGGAAGGGAGATCCCTGTTGGAGGAATACCAAGCGGGGGACCCTTAAAGGGTTTATAAGAGGAAAACTGGGAAATGGAATCACTCTGACACACAGTGTCATTTCTAAAAAGCATTCCCAGCAGCAACGCCTCAAAGCACCCACAATCCCAGGTGTGTTTCCTGAAGGGAGGAAGGACAACTAAGAAGAGCCTGATCCTCAGGGCAAGAGCCCACATGTTCACCAGAAATGAAGCCCAAGTAAGCAGGGGACCACGGCTCCACAGCCAGCCCCCACAGAGCCAGCCCCACGGAGCCAGCCCCCACTGTAACAGGCCCCACGGAGCCACTCCCCACGGAACCAGGTCCCACTGAACCAGGCTCCATGGAGCCAGGCCACATGAAGCCAGCCCCCACAGAGCCAACCCCCATGGAGCTAGGCCACATGGAATCAAGCCACACAGAGCTAGCCCCCATAGAGCCAGGCCACACAAAACCAGACCACATGGAACCAGGCCCCATGCAGCCAGCCCCCACGGAGCCAGGCCACACAGATCCAGGCCACATGGAACCAGGCCCCATGGAGCACCAGCTCCCACAAAGCCAGGACACAGAGCCAGGCCACATGGAATCAAGCCACATGGAGCCAGTCACACGAAGCCAGGCCACATGGAACCAGCCCCATGGAGCCAGCCCTCCACAGAACCAGGCCCCATGGGGCCAGGCCTCACATAGCCAGGCCAAATGGAGCCAGCCCCCATGGAGCCAGGCCACATGGAACTAGCCCCCATGGAACCAGGCCACATGGAATCAAGCCACATGAAGCCAGCCCCCATGGAGCCAGGCCACATGGAACCAAGCCATACGGAACCAGGCCAGAGCTAGCCCCCACAGAGCCAGGCCCCACAGTACCAGACCACATGGAACCAGGCCCCACGCAGCCAGGCCACATGGAACCAGGCCACAAGGAGCCAGCCAGATGGAGCCAGGCCCCATGTAGCCAGCTTACACAGAGCCAGGCCACAGAGAGTGGGCCCCCACAGAGCCAGGCCACATGGAATCAAGCCACATGGAGCCAGTCACACAAAGCCAGGCCACACGAAACTAGCCCAATGGAGCCAGCCCCCATGGAACCAGCCCCCCCACAGAACCAGGCCCCATGGGGCCAGGCCTCACGGAGCCAGGCCACACGGAGCCAGGCCACATGGAGCCAGCCTCCATGGAGCCAGGTCACACAGAACTAGTCCCCATGGAGCCAGGCCACATGGAACCAGGCCACATGGAGCTAGCCCCCGTGGAGCCAGGCCACACAGAGCCAGGCCCCATAGAGCCAGGCCACACAGAACCAGGCCCCATGCAGCCAGCCCCCAAGCAGCCAGGCCACAAAGAGCCAGGCCCCACCCAGCCAGCCCCCATGGAACCAGTCTCCAAGGAGTCAGGCCCCATGGAGCCAAGCCACAGGAGGCCACAGGGCCCAGGCCCCAGCACCCTGTCGGGAGGTGGCCCCAACACCAGCATCGTCAGACCAAGTATACTTTGTTTAGGAGCGGCCCATGGCCATGCATCTGGGAAACACAGGAGACATTAATCACTGGAAACTGTAATTTTTGTTATCAGTCTAACACTGATCAAAAGGGAAGCCTGTCTCCACCGCTGACCTGTGAAACGTCCCAATTATACTCTTTGGAAATGACGAGGGCACTTAGCTCCCGCGCTGAGCAAATGACGGCGATCCATCACATCTGAATAACAACAAGCCACGGACCTGAAAATTATTTCTGTACAGAATCTGCCCAGGAATTTATGAAAGGTGGAAAGCAGCCCAAGGTTTCAGGGCATTACGGTTCTCAGCCAGTGCAGCGCGTATCAAACACTAAACAGAATTTATGTGTTTTAATTTTCTAAAAGGTAGATGTGGACCGGGTGCTACAATGCATAACATATAGTGCCAGGCTTTAAATATGGGGGTCATTTTCAAAAAATATTATGCTTATTGCTCGCACCCTTGAATTTCATCGGGGACTTTTATCAAATTTTCACTTCCTAAAAAATACTTAACTGCTGAGCCAACTATTAGGAATTATACCTTCTTTCTCCCCAACTAAGATGGTTCATTTCTGTAATTTAAGTTTGGAGCCCTGGGTTCCCCTTTGTTCTTGAATTAGCGCTGATGAGGCCACCCTGGTCCTGCCGAGTATCTCCCTCTGTCACACTGGCCAGGTCCCACAGGAGCGGCTTCGCCTCTCAGGAAGGCCCAGGGCTTTCTCCCGGGCAAGAGCCCACCACAGCCCCTATCCACACTTCAGCTTGAAACTACTTAGAGGCTGTGGTGACCCCTCAAACCACAGCAACTCAGGATTTAGGGACTTCCCTGCTAATACTAAACATAAGGCTGAAAACTGCTGTTCTCAGGTTTTAATTCACACGAGACAAACTCTCGTGTCTGAAAACCACAGTGCAGTCACCTCTGACATCTGGCACCAGGCACACTGAATGCCAGGGACAGGCGGGGATGCTGAAGGTGGGGAGCTGTGAGCCCAGGACGCTGTGTAGCTGTTCACTGACCTGTTCAGAGGACAGGAACAGCGTGGTCACCAGGGACAGAGCTCCCTGTGGTCTTGAAGTGCACGGATCCCAAAGGGAGAGTGAGGCCCCACACTAAGCATCTCTTCCACGTGTTCCCACATGCATCCAGTTCACCTCTGAGAAGTCACATCACCAAGTGGTGAGAGGCAGTGGCCACCGGCCCTCAAGCTCAGGGACAGACGAGCCAGGGGCCAGCACCGTGTGTCTGAGGGGCTGGGCACCG